TGGGAAGCTGCCTACCCATTTTACCAACTTGAAAATCAAAAAATCGCCGATAAAATCTATAATATAAAGCATTTAATGGCAGTTTTTAGCAGCGAATATAATCATCATGTATTAAATACATTCTGAAAAATTCAGCTGGATCGATAGAGTATGAAGACAGAAGTCTGAAAAATCTCGATCTGCCCCGGCTTTTAATTTGCCCCGGCCCGGGTTTGCCAACCCATTTTACCAACACTCATTCAAGCCAATATTTTCTCAATAATCATTTGTTGTAGGTTTTAATAAAAATAAGTAAATGATATTATTTCATTGTACATGTAGGTTATAAATTGCGGTACATTACAGGCCGAGTATTTTACGTTCGCCTTCACTTTGGTGCATGTAATAATAGGAGAAATAGCTCGTTCTTCACATGACTCGTGATTGCCGATGCATTGTTCATGGATGTGTTCCCAACCTGTGATATAATTTTTCTATAAATTTATCGTTTTTAAAGTATTTGTTATCAAGTGATACTCTGTATATATTAATCAACGATATATTTATAAACTGTAAACGTTTTGACTTTACACCACGGCTTAGTTTTGGAGCTATTGTAAAAATATTTTTTGGACATACTGACCTTTAACGAAACTTTAAAAACGTTCAAACATTGCCTTTAGCAAAGCCTGATTTTCCCTCTCTAGCGACCCCGTGGGGATTCGGGTAAGAATAGGTTCTCAGTACCCTAACTTCTGAAAAGGAAAATCCTGAAATATGTCAACCCATCCGATAATTTTTTTAGTGTCTCATCTTAATATATTTGCTTCAAAATATTTCATGTACTGCTGCAAATCATGGAAATTAGAATCAGTCTATGAACAATAGTGTAGCCTTCCTAGGGAGGACCACAGGTGATAATTATCAGTACAAGTTATAGTTGAAGTACATTTTATCTCGTGTATCATGGATAATCAAGGGGGCGGTGACGAAGCAAACGAGTCTCCGCCCCCTTGATTATCCATGATTCACGAGATAAAATGTAATTTAAAGGCCGGCTCTGACCTAGTTTAATATCCACACGGACAGCAATTAAGCCTTTTATGGAGCTGGTCACACCTCCAACTGATTAGACTGCAGAGTGAAGCTATAAATAGATACGTGCATAGAACATAAACGTGTTACACAGAAAGTAGAGATAAAACTCTGCACATGGTTTTACTATTTATTTCTCCGCTTTGAGTACACTTGTTTAATATAGCGCATCCATAATTTATTTCTAAAATTAAATGTTTTCTTTTTATAGTTCTTTTTTCCCTTTAGTCTTCTAGGGGCCTTTGGGTCAGCCTTGAATGAAGTAGAAGTATGTTCTCTGTTTACATTTTCATTCCAATGCAAAGTTCCAAGGAAAGCACGCACTTTATATTGTTCACTTCCAAATGCTATTCGTTTGTCTTGATAGATATTTAATGTATTATTGAAACTCTCCACAAAGTACGTATCTCTCCCTAAATTAAAATGGTCTGGGTTCTTATAAATAGTTGAATTTACTATAACACTTCTGAGTAATTTTACTGCCACTGGATTTTCAATTACAACCTTTGAAGGTTCATAATTTGGATCTCGTTTACACCTAGAGCTGGGATGACATTGTTTGTGGCTGTTCTGGTAATGGTCCACAATATTGTCCAACAGATTTCTCAAAGTAGCTGAATTACCATCACAATACTTGGTCGCCCAGTAAAAATGTGTTGCTACAGGCTCCACTTTGTCAATCAATTCTTCAGACCATGTTTTTCCTTCCTTATATCTTGGTCCTTTTGATATATCAGTCAAGGCTTTTTTAACACTCTTGATGCCATGCCAAAGATCGTTTTGATTGCATGTAAATCCATGTTCTCTTTCCCTTACAAATTTGTTGATGGCCATATTCCTGTCGTGGGTATGTACATTCACAGAAATGTCTCTATTGTCAAAATCTTCATAAATTTTCCTTGTTCCGACTACCTCATGTCTTTGGGAAACAGGTTCCTCTGCTTTCGAGACATGGGCACAATTCAGTACTTTATGGGATTCTCCCCAATAGCAACAACACTGGTATCTTGTGAATTTTTTCTCCATCCATGGCGGGCATCAGTTATTATGTCTATTCCATCCAGGTTTTCATATAATCCAACTTCTTCTAAAATAGCAGTAGTGCACGAATCCCCATATTCTTCTTTTACAAATTGCTTATACATTTTGAAAAATGTATCTCGTTTCTCTACGGAAAGAATTCCAAGAGCATTACAGAATCGGGAATAATGAGAAGGTAATTTTCCGCTGCATAGAAATGCATGGTAGATTCTTTTGTTAACAAGGTATTTCCCGTTGGGTAAGTATGGAGAAGATGCCCAAATATAGGAATGTTTTCCTAGGTCCCCCCGGGTACGTTTAAATTTACGAATGCACATGACTTCTCTTAGTGACTTTTTTGATTTCTAGAATTCCTCTGCAGTACTTTCCATGGGTTGCTTGAATATCCATCAGTTTTTTGATAGATTGCATTGATGTTACAAAAAAGTCCTGCTTCACTTGACTCTTCTTTACTTTGGTATAAGTTCCCGGTGACTTGAAATCACCACTTTTACTCACTTCTAGGGATTTTCTCCAAGCATCCATCAATGATTCCATTATGTCAGTGTTGTTGACAGGTCTCCCTAACTTACTGACCAAAACCTCCCTTACTTTCTGAAGACTTTGCATTATTTCTTGCTTTTTTCCTTCAGTAATTGGCATCTCAAACTTGAAATTGGCAGGCCGTTTTCGCTTGGTTTCTGCCATTTTCTTCACTTCTTTTGAGTATTATTTGACTTTCTATATTCTTTCAATGTTTACTTGCTTATCTTCTTGTAATACTATATAAAATGTTACCTGCAGTTTTGTGTGTTTCCTATTACGGACTAGGCCACTATTTTTTGTGATGTAACAGGATACAATCATATTTTTCATTTTCAATAGAATTAATAGATGACTGGCAAATATGGTTCAAAGTTTGCTCCTCATGATGAAACTGATATAAGAATTGCAAAATCAAGTCTCACCTCTTGCGTTTGAAATTATGTGTATTTATGCAATTAAATATTTATAATCTGAATTTACCCTTAGTCTATTATCAAATGGAATAGACCAGTTACACTGAACATGTAAAGCTTAAATATTTTCACAGTGGGGAGGCACTCCCTGCATCCCGCCAAATGTCAATAAATCTATTAGTCAGCACACCTCCCATGATGGGCCCTCAGGGGTCAAAGAATATGATGCAAGAAAACCCCCAGATATTATTATTATATTTAATAGATTATCAGTGTATTTATTTTATAAAAATTTTGATGCCAAAAAAATAATAAAGTTTTAAAATTTACAAAAGTGACCAAATAGACAACAACATGTTAATAAACCTCCTTGGGTGCCCCATGTCCTAAAACTTTCCCTCCAATTCCAAAATGGATGAAAATGAGGACACAAGTGTAATTTCTTTGAGAAAGAATCCTCAACAAAGGGAAACAATTATTCAGTTGATAAATTTTAATGAATGGGAATTAGATGAAATGTTATGCAAAGGGGATACTATTGAAAATCAAAACACCAGTGATGAAAACTTTGAGAGGACATTCCGTATCCCACAGAATGAAAACTGTGATGAATGTCAACAGTGTTTTTTGCAAACCCTGCATCACAGATGAGAAAAACACACAGATGTGGTGGCCTTCTGAAGCAGTGTTACCGGACAGAAGAAACAGCTCCTTCCAGAAGCAAAGGTATAAGTTTTTTTGGACAATGCTCTTTCACAGAGGTTTTTCTTGATGCCCGATACAAAGAAAGAAAACTCATCGCGCTGCAGTCAGACCCTCGATTGAAAAATGTTGCAAGCCATCGTAGGGACATTCTACCAGAATGTGTTGTTGATCTTGTCAGATTTTGGTATCCCAACCCAAAGGATATTCCATACATGGGACACCGATGGCAGTGAATGTCATGTTTAACAGTTTGAATACACGAATTAATGAAATTTATGTTTTTGTGAGAATTACATTTGTTTGCAGCTTCATATACTATACAAGTCTTATCTGTTGACTGGTCAGTGCTTATGTGTTAATTACTTGTATTCTGCGCTGTGAACAGCGGTCAGTTGATAACAGCCTGAAACAGCAGGATGCACTTTTATATGTTCTTGTTTACATACAGTGTGTTCTTTATCTCTTCATCAAATAAAAGGAATTAATGGACTTTTCTTTCTCTTTGCTGAGTAAGAGAATTAGGCATATTAACCATATAATAAGAAGCCATTTTGAATGCGTCCATAGAGATTAGAGCTTCCGGTGTAAATACAAACAGAGCTTTGCTAGCTGTCTATCGAAACAGGCAGATTTTGAAAATCAGTGTCACTTCAGAATTTCAATTGATAAATTCTCCCTTTTTACAAACATTAGAAATATAGTCTTAGCATTTTCTTAATGCAGAATAGTAAACTTTATTTACAGAACAACTATCTCAAAATGGTAATTGGTGCTATAAGTATGAATTAAAAAAAATATCCCCTGAAGTGAAGAGTGGCAAGAAAATTGAAATTTCCACCATTTTCCTGATTGGCTGCTATTTATACCCCAGAACCGGGCTTTTACTGACTTTTATCAATGGTCCAATCAGAAAGCTCGAAATATTAGGGCGAAAATTCTCCTTGAAACAGCGCGGGAATTTATTCCGGAAAATAACCCGCGAAAATATCGGGGGTTTTCGTAATAGAGGTGCGAAAGTATCGACAGCATTCGATAGATTTCGTTATCATTTCCCGCGCTCCAACCGGCATATTATTGGTTCTATTGACTCTCGGAACATTCCGTAGTCATTTCCCGCTAACTCTTCGTGATATTCTGTGCATTTAGTCATTAACTTAGATTAAGTTGAGGAGGGTGAACGTACTAGGTCTAGATGATTTGCATTTGTCGACTATTAACCTGGGCGATTTAGACTTTTTTAACATGTGTGGAGTAACCGACGAAGATATCGAACTGTCGCAGGTATTTGATGCAGTTGCAGAAGAAAATGCCATATCAGAGGGTCTATGTGAAGTGCTGAATTTAAATGGTGTCGAAAATATGGACAGTGAAATTGGTACCGCATTTGGGTCTTTCAACCTAGATACAGTGGACCCTGTAGCTGATATTTCCGATGCAAAGCCTCGACCAGTTAAATCGGAACCTGGTGATGATAACAGTGAACGGTTTGGAAAACCCGTGACAGATGATGAAATTTCAAAATTGATTGCGTCGAACGAGAATGTTAACACCAAGAAAAATACCACCTGGGCGCTCAAGGTTTTCGAGGAATGGCGAGAAAAACGTAATGGTAATTCCGTCGATGAAATACCATTTTTACATTTAATGACGGCAGAACAATTGAATTTCTACCTGGGGCGCTTTATTGTGGAAACTCGGAGAAAAGATGGCATTGAATACCTTCCCCGATCTTTGTACCTTATATTGTGTGGGATATTGCGCCACCTCAGAAATAAAAACGTTTTCGACAAAAACATTTTGGACAATAATGACCCAAGGTTTAGTGAATTCCGGAAAATTCTTGACAGCAAAATGAAAGACCTTCTGAAGCGCGGGTTTGGAACGGCGATAAAGCAAGCTGAGCCCATTATGCCACAGGATGAGGAAAGCATGTGGGAGAAAGGTGTATTTGGGGATGGCAGTTCCGAAAGTCTTCAACATACCATGTTTTTCTATAACTGTAAACTATTTGGTTTAAGGGGGCATGACGAGCATCACGAACTTAAGTGTAGACAGTTTGTTCTTGGAGAGGACAGCTCTGGAAAATACATGGAATTCATTCGACATGCTAGCAAGACTTACAAGGGTAGGTTGGCCAAAATGCAGCTGACAAACAAGCAGATTCGTTATTTTAGTCCACCCGGTAAAATACGATTTCATTTAGTTTATAATCTAATTTTAATTTCAAAATTATATGTGCATTATTAATTACGTAACGACTTGGAAATATTCATGAATATTGTCACGGAGGTGACAGAGCAATTATAACTTTTTAATTCCACTGTGTATATATCAATTATCAAACTGTCATAACCAAGCTTGACCTTAACTCAATACACGGCTCCCGATTCTACGAACAATGGCTCCCATTACTCCACTCATTAAAGACTCATTATTCTTGACCACACTAGACACTGCTTTACTCTTAATTACCCCAACACAGCTTGACTAGTCGGGGCAATGCATCCAAATGCCTGTAACTGTGGACATTTAATCATAAATCACTTCATTACTTTTGAGCCTAAAATTACCACTCATCAATAACATAACCCATATGCACCTCATTTTTAGGTCACCTGAGTCACTCAGGTGACCTATTGCTATCTGTTTTCGTCCGTCGTGTGTTAACATTTGAACATTTTCAACTTCGTGTGCCAATATGTTGTCTATATAGAACATCCCCTTGAAGCTGTGCAAAATGTTGACGCAGTGTTATCAAATTGCTGATATGAGCCCTATTTGGGCTAAAAAATATTTAAATTGCAATGTTCTATGTTCATTTTGGAGCAATACCTTCAAAGTTGTCAATTTTTTCTTTGATATGAACCATTATTTCGTTGTCATGGCTTGGATGTAGATATTTGAAAAGAGGATTTCCATGTCCGCCACAAGAGAATGATCGCTCAACTTGAAGTAATTTCTCTCAAACCTCACTTTGTTGTCAGCTAAGATGCATTTCTCTAGAAGTGCCTGATTCGTGCATATCAAGACAACCACAGCTGAGCCTTGCTTGATTGCTGCTGGCATTAGCATATATCTCGAGATACCGATTGCGGTCATAATAGCCTCCCTTTTTTATTTCAACAAGCAAGTGTTCTTTGGATGTGCTTTCGAGAACTATGTCTGGTATGAACTTGAAGACTTGACTAGTACTACAATCAACGTCCTTTAATATAGGAGCTTTCTGTGAAATGCGAGGTGAACGTCTTGTCACCGTAGATTCACTTTGCAACTTGGAAGGAGATTCCGATGGCGAAGAGTCGTACTCACTTTCCTGAAATGTAACTTCAAAGGCTAATTCCCTAACTGATGGCGCTTTGACAGTTGAGGAACCACCAATATTCACCACTCTGACTGAGGTGTCTTAGCCGAATAGTTGTGAAAGGAGATTTTATATCATTGATCTGCCCCGGGAGTTTGACATATCCGAGACAAAGCCTTCTGTAATTGTTTGTTGGTCTATGGATAATACACCTGAAAAGAATAGAAAGAACAAAGAATCAACAAATGTTTAATTTGGTTGCTGTATATTAGGCAGTACCCTCACATTTCTGTAGTGTACATGTAGTCTAGCAGTGGCACTAACTCAGTTGACAATATTTCAACAATTAAAATTGAAAATGGAGGCAGAATAAGAATACAAATAGCCTTTTAACTTGCTTTAATATAAATATATTGCTGTAAATTTCCAAGTCTGATGTGTATAAAAAAAGAGAACAGAGTTCCGATATCCCCCGCCGCCCCAATTTTTTTATGCTATTGTTTGAGTTTTCAAAGGCAATATTCCTATACATATTTTGAATTCAACTTTTTTTTCAAATTAAGAGCGCTAACAAGGATATTTCGTTAATTTTCTAAGTTGAAAAGGGGCGTAACTCGCACAAAAATATTCGGTCAGAACTCATCTTCAAACTATCATGAGATATCATTGAGCTAAAACTAATGTATAAATTTTATCCTAATCGGATGATAAATAAATTTGCTGGAGCGCTAACAAGGATATTTCGTCAAATTTTTAAGTTAAAAAGGGGCTTAACTCTCACAAAAATAGAGCTAAAGCTACTGTATAAATTTTTTTCGAATCAGATGAGAAATAAATTTGCTAGAGTGCTAACAAGCATATTTTGTCAATTTTCTAAGTTAAAAGGGGCATAACTCCCACAAAAATATTCGGCCAGGACTCATCTTCAAACTTGCTCGGGATATCATTGAGCTTAAGCTACTGTATAAATTTTATTGGAATCGGACGAGAAATAAATTTCCTAGACGCTAACAAGGAAATTTTTCAATTTTCTAAGTTTAAAAGGGACATAACTCCTATAAAAATTTTCGACCAGGACTGCATGATCTTCAAACTTGCTCAAGATATCATTTAGCTAAAGCAACTGTATAAATTTTATTTGAATCGGATGAGAAATAAATTTGCTAGAACAATACAAGGAAACTTTTCAATTTTCTAAGTTTAAAAGGGGCATAACTCCTATAAAAATTTTCGACCAGGACTGCATGATCTTCAAACTTGCTCAATATATCATTGAGCTAAAGCAACTATGTAAATTTTATTTGAATCGGATGAGAAATAAATTTGCTAGAACAATACAAGGAAATTTTTCAATTTTCTAAGTTTAAAAGGGGCATAACTCCTATAAAAATTTTTGACCAGGACTCATCTTCGAACTGCTCAAGATATTATTGAGCTAAAGCTTCTGTATAAATTTTATTTGAATCGGATGAGAAATAAATTTACAAGAGCGCTAACAAGCATATTTTGTCAATTCTCTAAGTTAAAAAGGGGCTTAACTCCAAAAAAATTTTTTTGGCCAGGACTAATCCTCGAACTTGCTCAAGATATCATTGAGCTAAAGCTACTGTATAAATTTTATTTGAATCGGATAAGAAATAAACTTGCTAGAGTGCTAGCAAGGCGCACGGACGGACGGACGCCCGGCATAACCATATCCCCGCACCGCGTTGCGGCGGGGGATAATAAACTGTGCATGCATAAGTGAAATTTTGTAGAAATATGTTTGAACACTCGCATTTGAAGATATTTCTCCTTACAAATTATCATGGTGACTTTCAAATATTTTAAGAACAAAGACAGGAAGTTATGTTAAAAGTGCCATCTACAGTTGACCATGTGATATTTCTATAGATCAGATTACTTCTGGTGTGACGGTGGTGTACGTTTGATCTGATATAATAGACAAACATTTATTGGTGTATATCTGGTGTAATGAAAAAGAAAAATTTAAGAACTCCCTGCGGTGTATTTCTGGTGTACCCTGTAATCTCAACTGGAATCAAACACCCACTGGTGTATCTGTTGTGTACCCAATAGGAATAAATTTCAGAAGTCCATATGGTGTATCTCTGGTGTACATGTTTTTGCTATGGTATACTTGTGGTGATCCATGATCAAGTGATTTATTTTGCTGAATTCTTTAATTTTTATCGAGGCTGAAGAGTGATAAAGTTATTATTGTTTTGTGAAGCGTATTTTATAGACACATAGGTAAAGAAACGGTTGGGTGGGTGACCTGTTGTTATAGCCATTTTACTCATGTTCAAAATTTAGCGCCATTATGTCAGTGTATTACGTCACAAGTTTTTGAGTACTGCACGAGCAGTGACATTCGCTGGAAGGTATCGTTCTCTGGTCTGTACTTTTGTTCAATGCATCTCTTTTGTTCAATTGGGGAAAAACTACTTATTCGGTAAGCCAATTATTCAAACACCAGCACACCCATATGTATTTGTATGCATTTCTTGTTAGGGCCCCGCAAGGATTTGCGGGTGCCCTATAGTAATCACTCTGTCTGTCCGTCCGTCTGTCCGTCTGTCTGTCCGTCTGTCACTCTTCCGTCCACAAATTTTCTGTTTTTTGCTAATAACTTTTTTCATGGTTGCCCAATCAAGTTCAAATTTGTAATGGTAGTTCAGTAGGCAGAAATACATATTTTGATGCTAAGTTTGGTTCTCTATGTCTTCTGGTTTAGAGGTGGGGTGGTGGGGTAGATTCCTTAATTATGCATAAGAATGAATGAATAACTTTTTTTATGGTTGCCCAATCAAGTACAAATTTGGTACATTACTTCAGTAGTCAGAAATACATATTTTGATGTTAAGTTTGGTTCTCTATGTCCCATGGTTTGGAGCTGGGGTGGTGGGGTAGATTCCTTAACTTAATATAAGAATGCATTGGCAAAGAGAGATAACTTCTGAAGATGTTCCCATTGTTAATTTGTTATGCTGCTAGAAGTCCCTTGAGATTAATTAGCTTTCCTCCTGAAGAAAATCCAGAGCGTTATCTTTATCTGTCACATTGAGATTAATTACCAACTCTGTCTGCAAATGAAGTTTGCTTTGAAGTTAAATCAATTTGGAATGCTATGAACACTTTGAAATGTGGATTTAAATATAAATTTTTATAATTTATTTTTGTTGATAGTTATGATTTCATTGAATTCTAAAAAAAAAAAAAAGAAATAGATTAAAGAAGATTTTTTAAATTTACTTTTTTCACTTTTTCAAAAATATTAATTCAAGAATACATGTATAATTAATTTTTAATGTACATGTAGTTGTATAAAAACTTCATTCTATCATTAACACTGAAAAAATTCTTATTGTAAATTTAGAAGAAAATGATGAGAGAGGTACAATTAATCCCTTGGGATTAATTATCTAGCCTGCTGCAGAAAATTTAGTAGGCTTTTCTTTATCTATCACTTCAAGATTAATGAAAACCTTTGTCTGCAACTGCTGTTTGTTTGAAGTAGAGGTCAAGCCTTCATGATATTTGCATTCATTAAAGGCTGGCATTTATATGACACAAAGCTTCATAATTGTTTAAATATACATTCAATGTTAAGTTGTTCTTTACTGCCTAATGTAAATACATGTACAAGGATATTATTTTCAGGTTTTTAAATATTCAGGAATTATCTCTAAGTTTTAAGAATACAGTTCATGAGTTGCTGTTGCTTATTAATCAATCTGTAAGCGGCACCCTTTTAATTCTACCCCATGGCGGGGCCCTTGCTGACTGGTCAGTTTTCTAGTATTTTATTTATGAATCAGTATTTTTTTATACTCTGATAATGGTCTACATAGTCGAGCATATTGGATAATCAATACTTCTTATGTAAAGCTACATTTACAGATTTATTATATTAGACACAATAAGATTCATTGATAGGTCTGCATATCTGTTGTTTAGGATAGGTGTTAAATGCATTAGGCTTAAACTGTGTATCGCAAGGGCGATAACTCTCATATCCATTTGTAAACACCAGTTTCGAAAGTTAGATATTTTTATGTATACTTAGTAATATATAGAACGTTAACTTATAAAGTATTATTTTTGGGTTTGTGATATTGATAGCATATATTCTGGCATATATTTCTAGTCTTAATTGCCTTGGCACTGTCAGTTTTCTAGTCCGCATT